GTCACGTAATTGCGGCGATACAACAAGCCTTCACGGACAGCAAAGTGTCTTGCTTGACGAGAGAGGGAGCGTGAAGTCGTTTCTGCCGAACTGTGAGAGAGGACGTCGAGCAAAGAATTGATCCAGGGATCCTTGCGCTGTTCGGATGGCATGTCAGTGATGCTCAACGATGACGAATCGCAAATGGCAGTTGATAAGCAGGCAAGGTCAGGAGGCAGTGGAGAATGGGATAGTGCATCGGCGTCTGAATGTCTGCGTCCTGAGCGATAAACAACACGGATATCGTATTCCTGAAGGCGTAAAGCCCAACGAGCGAGGCGGCCAGTAGGATCTTTCATGGACGCTAACCAGCATAAGGCATGGTGATCTGTGACAACATCAAACTGGCGTCCGTAAAGGTAGGTGCGAAATTTTCCTATAGCCCAAATGATAGCCAAGCACTCCTTTTCCGTCACGGAATAGTTGGACTCTGCCTTCGTTAGTGTACGGCTGGCATAGGCGACAACGTACTCGTCGCAGCCATCCTTGCGTTGAGCGAGAATGGCACCGAGGCCGACACCGCTTGCATCCGTGTGAATTTCAGTGGGTGCATTGGGATCGAAGTGGCGGAGAACTGGCGGATATATTTATTTATTTATTTATTGAAAATACCTTACAGGCCAGAAGGCATTGAGTAAGGGGGGTTACAGTGAAAAATCGCATGTAAATTTCAAAATAAAAACGGTACAATGTCGGTAAGTAATAACAAAAAAAATTAACAAAGCAATAAGTCAGCAATACGTAAACATGGCGATGAAGTATATAAGAACACTCCGTAACATAAAAACCCTCGGAAAAGAAGTAAAAGAACGTCAAGATGAAATATTAAGGAAATGCGTCTGAACTTTTTGCCGAAACGTGTTGGGGTTGCTATCAGAGGCGATATCGTCGGGAAGATCATTCCACATGCGGATGGCTTGCGGTAGTGCGGATGTGTTGAACGCGTTCGTGTTTCCAAAAATGCGAGTGAAGCTGAGATGGTTATGTAATCTGCGTGACGTGTAGAGCGGGCGTTGAAGGTGCAACGACGATGTTTTGTTACTGTAGACGTACTTATGAAATAGGCATAACAAGGACACGTGACGACGAACATTTAATGCTTGGAGGGAATGATGGAATTTAAGCTGAGTCACACTGGAATTGATGTCATAGTTTCTAGAAATGTAACGGGTGGCTCTGTTCTGGATTGTTTCCAGCATGTTAATTTGATACTGAGCGGAAGGGGACCAAACAGATGAGGCATATTCAAGTTGCGGGCGGACGAAAGTTAGGTAAGACATTTTGCGAATGTTAGTGGGACAACGACGAAGGTTTCGGCGTAAATACCCCAATGTTTTGGAGGCTTTTGCACAAACGTTAGTGATGTGATCAAACCAGGAAAGCCCTGGTGTAAGGTGGATGCCAAGATACTTGTAAGAAGTCGCCGTGGAGAGCCTGTCACATTGCATATGGTAAGTGAAATTAGATATGACCTGTTTACGTCCAAAAGAAACAACTTTACACTTATTAGTATTCAACCTCATAAGCCAAGTGCTGCACCAATTAGAAATAGTGTTCAGATCATCTTGAAGGATGGAGTGATCGTTAGGACAGTTTATAGGTCTGTAGAGCATGCAGTCATCAGCGAAGATTCTGATATGCGATGATATGTTAGTTGGGAGGTCGTTGATGTAGATAAGAAAAAGTAATGGGCCAAGAACGCTCCCCTGTGGGACGCCAGAAGGGGCTTCCCTGTGGGACGCCAGAAGGGAATATATATATATATATATATATATATATATATATATATATATATATATATATATATATATATATATATATATATATATATAACAATATAACAATAACAATATATATATATATATATATATATAACAATATATATATATATATATATATATATATATATATATATATATATATATTAACATAGCTTGCACAATGTAATCTTGGTGTTCGGCAGCTCGCTCATAGCACCATTTCACGTTTATGCACCAATCGACGCTTTGCAGTATACATGTTAATTTAGACGACTGTCGTCTATGATGAATGCCTAAACCTTTGTGGTAGTTGTGGCACTTAGTCGCAACAACGTGATAAAGAAAAAGGGTGTTATAGCCAGAACAGCGCCTCTGATTGGACGCAAACTGGGATAATCTCGCCATCCCGCGTCATGTTAGAGTTGTAGAACACATCGGCCGAACTAGATGGAAACGCAATGCACGTCGTGTCTACACTATTATAGCCTGGGTGAGATTTTTCTCGGGGCGAGCGTAAGCGAGGAGCGCGGTGTGAGGATTAGGATTAGGATGCTGTAGGTAGCCGGCGAATCGAGCCTTGCATAATTTACCGGAAATGGCCACGCCCAGTTTCGTCTTTGCTAATTTATCTATTGTCATTTTGTTTGTGTGTTTTTAACTAAGCACCAGTAGGCTATTTTTGGTATGGATGGATGCTATATACAAAAGGGGAAGAACTATTTTCGGTATGAATGTATGCTATATACGAAAGCGGCGGACGCATTCAAGTGACTTTAAGACGCATAGACTAAGGCCGCCGCTTTCCAGTGTGTTCAGGCGTTAGCAAAATAGCCCTCCTATTGGAAATGGGCCGAACGGCACGGTCCCGTAGCAACCACGCCTCGCAGAAGCTCTTCGTGGAAGACACGATCACGATGCATTATACTTCATTTTCCAGTGCCAAAGGGTGATACCACACCGTCAACTAAGATCATTGTGGGACGCAAGGGTGAGATATAGAAAGCGCGTATGCAAAGCTATTATAGACGGTGACCGTGGCGCAGGGGATGCTATGGGGGCGGACCTAGAATTCGCAAGCTGAACTACTAACAACAAAACATTCTAACAGCAAAGCTTTCCTTAGCCAAAGTTTTTATGTCCAGCGTTGTGTTAGTGCTGATCACGTGGCCTTGTATTGCGGCGAGCCTCGGTAGGAAGGGGAGGGCTGCGTGTCCTGCGAAAGGTGAGGGCGGAGGATGTCGAGGGGTGAACTTTCAAGAGACGCGACAAGATGCAGTTTCAGCGACGTGCAGTGGAGTGTAAAATAACGTATTAGTATCAATATTCAGGAGTTAACGCTTTCAAAATGGCGAACAGTTTTCATTCTCCCGATGAAGGAGGCGCCTCACGTGAGGGTCACCGAGAGTTCACGAGAAAATGGGCATGTGGTCGCCGTGCCAACCGCGGTGTTCGGGCAAGAGAGGTAGAAGCTAAGAGCCAACAAATGGAAGACTTTAAAAATATAAAACATATGCAGCTGATGAATAACGGGCGTTGCTGTTTCAAAAGTGTTCGTGAAGTGGAGCTGGCCGGATATTTTGTTTTCAATGTGACGGTGTGCGTTTTGTCAGCGTCATTTCCGGAAGGAGATGCATCACGGAAGTCTTGGCGGACCCTGTCGACGCCATTCGCTGGACGGAACTGCGTCCGGAAATGGTGGGCCCTGGCATAAAACACTTTTGTGTTAAATTTAGGCTGTGGGAATTGCACGCATCTTTATATCGACCCCTTTCTTGTAAGTTACAGAGAAAGGTAATCAGGGGATGCAACCAGGTACTGCATGGCACTAAAGAGATGCGCTCGCAGCTGGCTACATTTTCTTAGGTTCGTATTTTTCTTCACCTTCTCATGTATTCCCAGCGTAATTCTTTTGAGCGGCCAACGACGTAGATGGTGTAAGTACATTCATTTAGTCTAATACCTTCTCATTTTTCAAAAGCAAAAGCCTTAGGTGACTCATGAAACGCGGAAATTGGCCTTCGGCGTCCTGCGTTGTCGCCGTCAACATGAGTGGAGCGATTATTACCTCATAATATTGTCATCCTGACGTTCCTTATCGTCATATTTCTGGACTTCAATATGTCACTATGACGTCATACAAACTGACGTCACCACAAGGTGTTATCCTATGAAATCGTCGTTTGGTCAATGGTAAGCCAATCACGAACATAGTGCAAGACCAATTAAGGGAAGTGCAGAAGTGTTGCACGGCCTCCGATCCTAGACGGAGTGAAACCGCGTTAGTTGCAAAAGGTTTTCAGGGCAGAAGGGGGGGGGGGGGAAGGATCCATACGACTACAGAGAAAAATAAGGTGGCTTTCGTAATCACGTCGTTTTAGTCAAATGCGCAGTGGACTCTGCCAGTTCTGAATAATCCATTCCTTACCGATAAATACGGATGAAAACTGAGAAAAACAAATGCCTCCATGCCTGCATTCTCTGCATTACTTACTCTTACCTGTCTCTCTGATATTACCCAACGCGTCTAAAAGAGTATGATTACATTAAAGAACAACATTTTTCTGGCAGTCTTACAAAACCCGTCAATATAATCGATAAAAACGAGATGTCTACAATGTTGCCACGCGCGTTTTATTATATAAACGCAATCGGGTTTGACTTAAAAAAAAAAAAACATCAACCCCCATTCGGTACAGGGTACGCCTCAATGTTCGGGGAGCTTCAAGATTGTCTTAGACTATTATATCAGATTGTTCACGAGACATGAATGACCTACTTTACACTGAAGCTACCATGAGCCCCAGTGATAAAGCAGGATTTTTGGAGAACTCATGCATAAAAACGACTCATTCAGCCGACGAACGAATTTCCGACGGTCGATGTCTCTGCTGGCCGCTTTCACTCTCCTTTCAATTGTTACTTACTTGTCTTAGTGCGCACGTTCGGCCAACAAAGCGTCTCATCTATACCAGCTGCATTTTGTTGTCTTGAGCATCCCAGCCACCGGACAATGCTTATAAAATGCGTGTAGTATACCTAACATGTTTTACATTTCATTATTGCGAAAAAAGGTCTTTTCACAAGAAGTGTGGTAATAGCTTCGCAAGGTCGATCGTATAGAACATCCTATACTTGGCTGTGCACAGTGGTGCGCTTTGACGCACACTAATATAAAGAGTTTCGAAAGAGAGGAAAGCTTACTTTTTGAAAGTCTGTATGACTATGACGCCGATGAGAAATAGTTGAAAATCCGCTGAAAGGTACCAGAGGTGTGGCAGGATAGGCTAGAACGAAAGAAAACGTTCGTCAGGAGAGTCAGAATGAAAGTATAAACGCGGCATTGAGGCAATATAAACAGAAGGAACAGCCAGGCCCACGCATAAAGTGCAGCACAGTCACAACAAAATCTGGAAGAGCGGCCTTTCAGAGCCTTCTTAAGCACTCTTTTCGTAGATGCTACAAGCGCAATTTCAGGGTACCCACTACGCCATAAGTGATGTTTTATTTTTCGCGTAGTAGTCAGGCATTCGTTTGTTTGCTTGTTTCCTTTACTTTTATAAATGAAATTTAGCCACTTTGGGTGATTTGCTATGAATGCGACGTTGAGACTTTGAAATGGTATTTTAGGTATGGCAGTCGATTAGAAAAACAAATTATAGTTAACAGTACGTAACATATTCAATTTAAACTACAAGTACTATGCTTCTGAGCTTGTATTCCTGACTGCTGTATTAAATTAATGGGAATAATTTTGAAAACTGAGGTTTTACTTTGTTGAAATGACGAACAATTTCAAATCCCAGATTAAAATGGTACTCGTTGAGTGTAGTTATAATGAAGTTACACACAGCATCAAAGTCAACCCTGTAGCAGTATCCCAAGCCTGAGGCACCGAAGCATAACGTTTTCGTCCGATAAGGTTAAGCCTATTTTTGAAAAAAAGTATTAATAAGGAGTCGAGTTCTAATACGGGAATATCTTGAAGATGATAAAAAGTACTGTAATTCACTATGGAATTACTATGCCATCCTTCGTTATTTTTTGAAGAAGCAAGGTACTCGCTACAACACATTTACAAGGAATTCGGTGCAATATTTTGAAGCTATGGCTGAAGACGATGAAGAATGATAGCTGGAGCTTTCTTTGTTTTTTTATTAGATGGGCATATTAGACCTACCACCATAATTCACTATGTAATGTGTAATATCAGCAATTTAGACACTCCATTATTGTGATAGAACTTCGTACAGTTTTATGAAACCACTCAATTTTCGGCCCCTCCCCATCCGCCCATAGTGAGTGTGCGCCACAGTGAATAAGCGAACAAGAACAAGCTTTAGTGATAGGTTACTAGCGAGCTTGGCGATCCCTAAATACGACTAGCCGAGTGGCTCGGGGTCTCCCCTGCGTAATCTCCGGACCCCAATAAAGTTTTCATCATCATCATCATCGCGACACTATTGCAACTAATTTTAGCATCATAGAATAATAATTTAAAAGAGAAAGGGCCAAAGGTATACTTTGAATTTGGCGCCAAACCTTCAGCCCATGAACGTCAGTGTGATGTCACGAATCTCGAAGCCTTCTGGCGTATTTCCGTCCCATCGGTTCAGTAAAAATTCCTGAACGAACAAAGGGGACCGTGCTGTGTAGCGTAAATCCTACTATTCATCCATCTGCTTCTTGCTCTTCCTTTTTTCTCTATTATTTTCCTTTCTATTATTTCTTTTTTCTCCACCCCAAGTGTAGGGTAGCCAACCGAGCTAAAAACATCCTTAACAATCATGCCTTTCCTCGCCATTTCTCTCTCTCTCTCTCTCTCTCTCTCTCTCTCTCTCTGAAACTTGCTCTGTTACGACTATGGGTCTCTCGGAGAACAATGTAAACATTTATTGGCAATAGGCAGTTATGAAAACCTTAGCAGACGCCGTTGAACATTGACGTCACATCGACCTGGTGCGGGAACTTCAAATGGCGTTACCACATGTATATGCTATTTTTGAGTATTCTCTCATTTACCACGTGCCTTCTAGCGGTAAGAGTGGCTCTTTTCATAATTAAATATTCGAGTTTACTAACAAATGGGAGATTGGTTTACTCTTTGGTCTCCCTGTCACTTGACTTGACAAGTGAAATTATGGGGTGGGCGAGCAAACAGGCACTTGGGCATAAACTGTTGCCCGAGCGTCTGCGATACCACGCGTACGTTGTGCAAGTGCTACTGACGCAAGCCAATTTATACATGCACAATGAGCCTCTAATAAACATCGAAACTGTACTTAGATAATACAAATCAGTCAGTGTTTTAGCAAATTCTAAATAACGGACAGTTCCTCAGTGTAGCTGACACTGGCGTAGCCAGAAGGTAGGTTTTAGGAGTACCACCCCAACAATCGTGAAAGTTTCAGATGTTGTACGCGTATATATGAACGCATACATAAACCACATGCACGCGAACACACAAAACAGGGGAACATTCAGAAATTTCGACAATAGTATTCATCGGTATCGTTCCGTTCATTACACATGTCTTACTGAGGTTTTTACATCCTGACGGCTCCATAAACGTTGCACGTAATAAGAAATGTTAGGGTTTGATATGTAAGGTACAACGTCCCAAAACCACCCCAGGATTACGAGAGCCGCTGTAGTGGAGGGCTCCAGAAATTTCGAGCACCTGGGGTTATTAAACGTGCACCCAAATCTGACAGCAAGGATGTATAACATTTTCGCCTCCATCAAAAATGCCGCTGCTGCAGCCAGGATTCGATCCCGCGACAAGTGGGTCAGCAGCCGAGTACCTTAGCCAGTAGACCACCACAGCGGGGCTAATTGTTAGGGTATCATGTCCTAAAATAACAGTATGATAACGATCGGAACGCTGTAGAGGAGGGCTCCGTTAATTTAGATCACCTAAAGTACACCTATGTCTAAGTACACGGAACTCCAGCCTCCATCGAGATAGGGCTGCCGCGGCCGGGTTTCGATCTCACGACCTACGGCTGAGCAGTGGAGCACCGAAAGCACTAGACCACCAAAGGCCAGTCATAAAGGGAACTCAGGAACACCACACACGTAAAGTCGTTGATGCGTCGCCGCCACTTACAATTACGAAGTCTTCCCTCCAGTTCCTGACTTGAAACAGAAGGTCCCACCAATGGTCTCGAATCTCTTCATAAAATCTGCTGTAAAATTCTTTGGAGTTTGGGCCAGACGCCACCAACGGTAGAGTATACATGCACATAATCATAAAGAACATCGGGATGGTGACCCTGCGAGAAACGCATAAGACAGGAACGACATTCTATATTCCACGATTTATCAGCTTACGCGTGCAGTGAAAGATAATTATGTTCAGTTAATCTTTACGAAGTTACCTTCGGTTACCCCGGTAACTAACAACACCCGGTACTGGTATGAGAGTATATGTTTCTGAAGGCTTCACAAAGAAGCCTTCTGAAATGCACTTAATTTTTTCACAGTTAGCCTTTCGTTGTCATTAAAAGAAAGACATTATTCTAACGTGCGTATTCTTTACACAACAACGCATTAGTCTAGTAATAACAAATAACGTGATGTATTTTCTCTGTACGCGGCAAAAGCATGTGGTTTTAACGAAGATAGTACCTTTCGCAAAGACGGACACTTCTCCAAGTGGCGGGATTCCAGCGAACTAATCTTCCATACTCAGTCATTGCTTCCGGTTGTCGTTGCTTTCATATCGCGTAATGAAAGTCTCGCATTACTAATTAGCTGAAGTAGTAAAGGCAACCGGTGACCGTTGGTACTGGGTTCGACTCCCGGAGAAGGTTGAATTTTTCTCCGAGTGAAAAGCTTTCTTTCTGAGAAATTAGCAAGCGTCTTTTGGTAGCTTCAAGCTGTAAACAAGTGCACAGAAACTTCTTTAATTTCATCATTCCTTTTCAACATTAGCTGAAAACCTGCGCAAGTATGACACTGAAGCTTTCAACAACAATCTACAGTTTTCTGTACTTCTTTCCACCTTTTTTATCACATTACATATAAGTATATAACAATCAATCAATCAATCAATCAATCAATCAATATGTGGGGTTTAACGCCCCAAAACCACTATATGGGAGACGCCGTAGTGGAGGTCTCCGGAAATTTCGACCACCTGGGGTTCTTTAACGTGCACCCAAATCTGAGCACATGGGCCTACAACATTTCCGCCTCCATCGGAAATGCAGCCGCCGCAGCCGGGATTTGAACCCGCGACCTGCGGGTCAGCAGCCGAGTACCTTAGCCACTAGACCACCGCGGCGGGGCTAAGTATATAACAAAGCATTGGATAAAGCAAATGTATTTTAAGAACCACGACAAGGTTCATTCGTTTCCAGTTACATGTTCCTTTCTTTCTCTTCCTTCATTTTATTCCTCTTTCATCCTCTTCCAAAGAAGGCGAGCCAGAAGGACGCTTTTCAAGTTAATGTTCCTGGCTTGTCTCATGCCATTGTAAGTGTATGTCTTCCCCTGTAATAGAGCCGGAATTTCCAGCATCATTACGTCGAAAGTCTCAAGTGACGCCCCAGCCGCGAAAAGTGACCGTTCGCGAAGTTAATGCGACTGATGCGAAAAATCATCACGTCATGACGACGCGGTATGACGTCTTCAGGACGTCACATACCACCGAATTTCGTGACGTCTTTGCGACGTCTTCGTGATGTCCCATTAAATGACGTCACCACACGACATAGTGCCTTGGTCAGTGGCGGGCAAATCACAGAGGCATTGCTGTGGCATGCCAAAAGCTTGTAATGTTTGCAGATTTTGGAGGCAATGCGAATCTACGTTAAGTGCCGAAAGCTTTCGGTGCAATTCAGAGGGGGGGGGGGGGAGACTAAAATACATTCATTGTGAAGAAAAAGAAGCTGGCCTTCGCGTTTGAGTCATCTTTGGCGAATGCATGAGGCACGCTCTTAGTTTTTTGAAGGTCGAGTCCCCTCTATATGACACTTAAAACTTTGTCCCTAAATTCTTTGGGTTTGTGTGTTAGCCAACGAAATGAATTGTATCTTCCAAAAGGCGTATCCCGAAATCGAAGTCACCAGAGTAGTTCAAGTAACACGTTCGGGGTAAGACGGAGGCATCAAGTGGTGAACAGGCGTCAAAAGCAATGCTTCGCTGGAGCGAGCACTTCGAAAGGGGCACTTGGTCTTCGTCGGGGCAGACATCGGAAATGCTCAACTATGCTCCTTCAATTTTATAAATTTTGGTTACAGCGTCATTTAAAAGTTCAGTGCCCTGTCATCAAAGCACAAAA